TTCGTTACTATGTGATTTAATATTTCTATCTTATACATGATTGGATCAATACGATTTATTTGGAAACAGTTCCGCACGAATAAAATCATAAGCCTCTTGCTATACTGATCGTTAAGTTTTAAAGCTTAATCCACAATTCACTGGTGACACACCTGTTTTTTCAATAATTTCTGGAAGAAGATATATTTCTTTTTTCATTTTTGTCTTTGTCCTTCATCTTTCAGAAAACTGACTTCATATAAATAATTTAATTTGTTGTCATTACCTTATCCATGTTTTCAAGGTTACTAAAAGTATTTTTGGATAACCCCAGACCTTTTTAACATGTGGCTACGTGTATACTAATCGGTTACAGCAACCTAAGTATTACAACCATAAGAAACTTTCTTCTCCTATTATCCTTATCCTAGCATCAGTAACAGCCACCCTTATAGTGGTCACCATTTGTTAGGTTAATATTTGTCATGTAATTATTTTTAAGAGAATTTATATGAATGGGTAAATTGTTTTGGAAAAATTAGTATTACTCAATCATTACTGTATCAAACTTCTGTATCCCGTAGACGTAAGTTTAGAACTAAGATACTATCATCAAAGCGCATGTGGCGGTATTGTAACTAGCGCACCCGTAAGTTAAGATATTGTACAAAACTAGTTTAAGTTAGATTTAGTCGCAGGGACTGCTCAGTTTCACTCCGGGGGTATGTTGTGAACTGGCTTTTTGCTGCCTAATTGTAATTATGTAATTTAATAGTATATATATAATAATCATGGGAACGGAAGCCTCTTTTGTTTTGTATAAAGTATTTACCAGGCAAGCATCTAGTCCTTCTAGAACATTCGATGCTTGCTCAGCCTTTTTCAATGCATTGGGCCTACGGCCGCCGCCGCCTGAGGCGACGCGCCAGTAGGAGTCAGCTACTCGTTCAAGAGTCATATAGTTCATAGGGTCGAACCTGGACGACTCTCCACTGAATCTTTTGTTAATTTGCTCACTGAATCTTTTATGTTAATTTGCTCACTGAATCTTTTATGTTAATTTGTTCACTGAATCTTTTATATTAATTATCAACTAATTAAAATCGAGAAGTTAATTATAAGTGTAAACATATTTTTAAATATAATAAACTAATTATCAAACGCATTAATTTTATTTTGTCTACCGTACCAACCCGGTCACAACAATAAAAACGTACTCAATAAAGTTTTGTTTACTTTTAAGAACTATGATAATCATCAAATTTATTATTGAAAACAATTATTTATTAGGATTGGTTTTAGATATGACATGTAAATGCTAAATCATAACCTATAATTATTTTTAATAAATAAAATTATGACTGGTTGATAACCAGTTTTGAATTACTACTTTTTAAATTACTGGTATTTAAAGATTTTGACTTAATGAAGAGTTTTTAGCTACTCTCTATTTTTATTATAATACATCAATTGGACACTTTCATATTGAGTAACCTACATGTCTTTGCTTAAAAGTTATATTACTCAAAATATCGTATTCGACTATTATATTGTATAAAATTAATTATAAATATTCACTTCACTTTCGAATAGTGGTAGTTTTTAGGTAAAGTTTGTGAAGTAGCATTAATAGCATTAAGCCATAAGAGATTCAAGTAGTTAAAGGGATGAAAGGATTGACCTAATCTGTTTCTAACTTTTGTACTCCGAAGTATAAATATTCAATTAAATAAAACTACTCCTAAAATTGTATAAAATAATTATTCAATTTATCATTTTTTTAGATAAATACAGCTTAGTATTTTTTATTTCCACAAGTAAATTAAATTATTGACAACATATGTAAATTAAATAAGTAAGTACATTCAATTATTAATTTTAAATTATAATTTATATACTTATGAAATAAATATTGATTTAAATGTTAATTAATAAACATCAACTTAAATTTAAATATTAAAATGTGTACTCTCATTACTTCACTAGTGAGTTTTGCATAAATTTAATTATCTAATATCAGAGTTTTATAATACACACAAAATAATACAAAAAAAAAAAATAAGTTTAATCGCGACTACTTAAAAAAGTTATTATACATTTAATTGTAAAATCAAATCGTTTGTTAAATATAAAACATTAAAAAAATGTTATTTTGTTATTATATAAACACTTTTTTTAAACGTTTTATTATTGTATAACCAATTCAACGATTTATTCCAATCACAATCAAATAGATCACGCCAATATTCGAGTCCATTTTATTTGTATTGGTATTATTGAGCAAATAGTAACAAAATTTAGCATATATTTCGTCTTAACTCAAAAAAAGTCAATGACTACGATACAGGTCTATTAATACTAGGCACAGCGCAAAAATATCGAGAGGATTTTCTCCATTAATCAATATAACAAAAATGACACCTATAAGAAAATTACGTTGTTTGTTTGATGGGGTGGGAAGACATGATCCGCGTAGTGCGAATGGTTGGGGGGATGGGATCTAGTCCCCGCGCATATCGCGCTTGGTGTGTGAAGAGGTCTTAGTTGGCCGTGAATTCCAGCTTTGCTAGGAAGGTGATACAGGAGAGTAACAAGTCCATTTCCTGTACCAGGCCGTCGTCCTCCAGTTTCATCGGTGTCTCCGGCTGCTACTCCTGCATGGTTGCTACTGCTGATGTTGGCTGTGGAGCGGCGGCCGCCAGTACTCCGTCCACATATACCCCTGACGGTCTCCTAACGACAGTGAAAGAAGCGCTTTTGTTCTTAGTGGATGTTACTATCACTGCTGCTGCTGTTGTTGTTGTTGATACTGCTGTTTATATGTTGTAGTTAGTCAGTTGGTACGACTCGGGTGTGTCAGCGCCTATACGAATACGTAAAATATCTTCTAATAAAAAAAATTCGTCCTTATATGTCACGTACGGTTTTTCGTTCGCTATGGCGATTTGCGCGTTAAATTTTTGTGACCGAAGAGAGAAACGGATCGTTGTTTTGCCACTCTCGTACCTCTCCCCCTCGTAAACGGTCAGTCACAGATCGCGTTGTTTGCATTGGTTATGGAGTAGATCTTATCTTGAGTGGCGCAGAGTGCGGTCAGACTAGACATTGGTGCATCTAATAAATTGTCATCCAGGGCGTCTTCGTCAACAGGGGGTCCGTCCGTAGGATGACGTGATAACATGTTGTGTTTGCCCGGCACGTGTGTCGTGGTGAAATTTAGGTTACACTGGTGTAGCACCCAGTGGATCAACTTACTGTTTGTGCTCTTTGCTTTGAATAGATAAGTCAGCAATGAGTTATCCATGTACAATTCGAAAAATACTATATACTGGGTTGTTCGTATGTTAAAAATGTGATGATTTTATATTTTTTATTAAAACATTTTAATAATGATTGTAGAACGATATGCGATAAAAAAAATTTCGATACTTTATGTTGTGACTGCATTAATAAGTTAATGAAATTATCATATAAAATGAATTCATTAATTAAAATAATGCAAGGAGCTGTAATAGATATTTAGCACTTATAATTTTATTTTATTTATATTTTTATAATAATAATTTTTTATAATAAACCGCATTATAATGAGAGATGGTAGATATAAAAACACCAATACATATATGAAATATTAACACAAATTAGTAGAACAATAGATTGCGCATATATCTCTCTAAATTAATTACCTAGCCAATGAGAAGCATTGTGCAAATTAAACTAATTCTCCCNGAATAGATACGTGTTTGATTGATTGCACAAGATACTGATGGTTTGTTGAAATCATTATCCTAGCACATCTAGCGGTTAAAACTGTTGGTAAAACAATAGTTTATGACATGTCACTAGGGATTGATTCTCATATTCCATTACGTTCTTTTCGGCAAGCAGTTTTTGACTCTGTAAGGTCCGTGCATCGACGAGAGTAATCTCCGATGGTGTAGCCAGCCTGTCTCTAACTCTGTCGACTCTCATATCAAATACACAATTTCATAAAATATTGATAGTTTATTGAAGTCATTACCCTAGCACATCTAGCGGTTAAAACTATTCGTAAAACAATAGTTTATAACGTGTCACTAGGGATAGGTTCTCATAAGCTATCTGATTATTTAAATTTTCATTTTAAAATATATAGTAACACATATACTCAGACACCAGGTATAAAAAGGAACTACAGTGAAGTAATATTTCAAGTTTAATAATTTGCATAATTTTACAAAAATTAATAAGTAGATAAAAGTCAGTGCTCTCTTTTATTTATATTCTTTTTACAACAAACGATCAAACTAGCCGGACACAAGGTAAGAAATTATATTTCTAAGCATGTCATAAAATTAAGGATAGACTTAAGATAAATCAAGAATAACTTTTATCGAGGGAATAATAGAATTGTTAAAGGTGGATAATTTGAAAAGTTATTAATAACTACTTTCTCACCATTCGGGTCATAATAGTGCGCGTTCAACGTAGATGTTTTAACCTGTATTATACAATTACAAAAAGAAAATAATTCAGCCATTAAGGCTTGGCGCCCAACAATTGGACAGTAGCATCTTACATGAACACACGCTGTTTCCCATTCATATAGCATGACCAATAAATATTAAGAGTCGTAAAATCCTCTTCCGTAATCATTGCACATTTCATTGTAGAATTAATATGACTCAGGTGTGGATCATCCGAATATAATTTTCCTTCAATTTACTTTTTACGACAAACCACACGTAATGGTAGTATCTTAATAAAGAGTTCATGGATATATATATATATATATATATTGTATGCTATATTTTCACCTTGTAGCTAAACGTACTTCAACAATCCGTTAACCATAACATCTATATATAACATCTACATTCTATTATTATTCCTCTTTCTTAATTATAAAAAATATAAATATCACACATATGGCCACTTATTTTATTTCCTTCATTATCCTTCATTATAATAATCTCTCTTCATTCTTTTTATTATTATAATTAATATCCTTGTTCTATACTTTTTTTTTATGACANTCATATAAAATGAATTCATTAATTAAAATAATGCAAGGAGCGTTAAACGCTTTAAACATAATGCACAATAACCGATGGATCGAAAGTAAACAAGATGCTTTATTCAGTTGTATGTTTTCTACTGTACAAAAAAATCATGAAAATATAAAAGAATATCCTTTTATAACAATAACATTGGAATCTTCAATGTCTACTTTTATTAGGAATCAATTTTTAATTGATAGTGGAAGTAAACATTGTAAATATACTTTTTATAATGAGGATGATTTGTGGCAAGAATGGAATAAAGAATATGAAACTATGACGAGCAAAGGATGTAAACTTCCTTTCTTTGATTATTTAAGTCAAAAATTGCATGATAAAATTAGGGACATAATGGTTAACAAATTTATTAAACTCGGTTTCCTATATGATATGTCTACCCAAAATATTGCTGTACCATTACAAATAGAATCAACAAATTCAGGTATGATCGATTTTTTATAAAACCAAGAATGTTTAAATAAGTCTAAAGGAATTATGTTAAATTTGATATGAACTTAATTCCATTCATTAAATATATATTTTTATTACAATCATATATAAACAATTTTTATTTTAAAAGTGCTAACTTTTTGAGAGCATATTAAAATCTCAAAAAATGAATCAACTGATAATTTATCAAAGTACATTTGATTTGCTAACAATGAATTGTGCATATTAAACTAACAGTAATATGCAAATGGTATTAATGGTCAAACTTTACTTATAATTTTGGAAAACCCATTATGTGTGCGTAATTTAAATTACGATAATATTTTATGTTTCATTAGTGTAGGTCACCCTAAAAGGTTATGTATATAGTTTTTTGTTTTTGGTATTGACACGACTTACGTCGTAATAATGTATTCGACACTGTTTTGATAGTAGAGACCCGTAGGTCGTTTTCATTGATGAGTAACAACAGACAATTTTTTAAAAGGAATCGAGTATTCGAACACAATTAATAATAATCTTCGCATAATATCGTGACACTTTGGTTGGCGTTGGCGACGCGGTTTCCGCCATAGTCCTCGAACGTCAAAAAGTTGGCAGCATTGATGAGCAACGATGTGCTGGTGCGGTTTCGGTTCGTCGTACAACACGTCCGGAGTCGGTGCCGTACATCCTCGACGTCCTTACGCGAAAAAGACTTCATGTATATTTGAGGCAGGTCGCCGTCGACACTTGCTGGACTTTGTACATATAGTATGGCCACGACTGACAAAGGTGGTGGTCAGTCAAATATTCATAATTGGGCGACGGCTGATAAAGATGGCACGAGTAGCAGGGCATCGTGTATCACGAAGCTACGCGGGGGCCGTATCAATACATTTTTAGAAAAGTTATAGTAATTTAAAGTTGAAAAAATAAAATTATTGAATTATCTGGTTGCTCTATAATTATCTTTTGATAAATGGAACTATTTGAACAATAAGTGGGATTCAATAATCATCAAAAGAAAGTATTTATATATAATTTCATTTAAAATAACAATGTTTAATTTCTTTTGATAGAATTACATCCTATACCAAATTATACAATAACCGATGAGATGTATGCACTTATGCAAACTGAATCTATTGAAGACGCAATAATAAGTAAGGTTTTATATGCAATGTAATTTATTGAGAATATTACATTCATTTTTTTCTTAAATTATGATGTTTCATAAAAATGTTATTAATGTGTCAATAAAATGTATATTTATTTTTATTAACTAAATTAAATATTAAGTTTATTGTTAGAAAAAATTATTTCTAATAGTAGATTTTTTTAATTTTTAACTGTGCATTATGGTAAATAAAATGATAGCTAAAAACTATCTTACTCTCACCTATATCTTTAAAATCTAATATCTCAAGAACTAATATTACAAAACTGCTCTCGACATGTCAACATATTATTTAGACTATTTTCCGTTTAATGGAAAACAATAATAACAGTTTAAGTTATCTATCGAAATCACAGAATCTATTCTTAAAAACAATTTTTTTTTAAATAAAATTGATATTTATTATGGTTTATGAAAAAAAAATTAATATGCACACTTTTACAATTAACACATCATTATGCTATTTTAAATTTTGAAATAAATTTATTTATAATTGTCACTAAAAACAATTATAATATAACCTGAAAATGCACAAATTATTAAAAAAAAAACGGTAGCTTAGTGGGGACGTGGCATAGTTTGGGACAAGTATAGTCGATTGGAATTACTTTGAAGGGAACAATATAGATTTAAATGAATAAACTTGTACTTTTTATTTTCTGAATAAATTCCGGAAAATTTTTGATCAGGGTGGAGAATAGATATCTGACAGTAATTAAAATCATTATTAAACAAATACGATTAAATCTATACATAGTATTCAATTTTAAGAATAAATTATTTGTTTATTTCAAAATCAACAAAAACTTCTATTTCCTTAATTATATCCTGTGCATAAATAATATGATTTATAACTACAATATATGAATAAATATTTGTTATAGTAATTAAAACTAATATAAAATTGATTTTCAATCATTTAGTATTGTAATTATTACAGAGACATAGTTGTTGTATATTTCATAAATTTTATGTAATAATTTATAATACATTTCAAAATTTACATTCAAATTTCGCATTGGATTTAAAAAAAATTTAAAAACAAAATATTTAGTTCGATTTGGGTTTGATTATAAAATGAATCTTTGGGTTCAGTTCAATATCAAAAATCAGGCTTCATTAGATTACTCTTAACATATTGTAAAAAAAAGTTGAATAATTGTATTGATCTTAATTGAAAATCTTTAATGAAAAATTAGAAGTTCCGTCAGAAAATCGTACAACGCCAGTATTCATCGACCTTCTTAACCAAGGTAAAATATTTTATCCTAAATTTATAACTATTATTACAGTTATAAATATTAATTATTTTGAATACGTATATTTCTGATAAAATTGAGCTGGATTCATAATATTGTATTATGGATATAATATTGTACGTTGGATCAATCGTCCTTTTAAATCAATATCATTTCTTTTATAGATGCATGATGTCTTTACCTATCATTTGATATATTTTTTTTATAAATCTGACACTTTATCTGCCCACAGGTTGGATTCAAAATGACAACTTTTTCACAAAAAATTAACTTTTGAAAATGTTCCAGAAACTCTGACATTTTTATATTTACCTTAAATTAAAGCTTATGTAATATGCTTTATTATGGGAAAAAAAATGTTGGTCTTTATTTTGTCTTTACAGTGAAAATATAATGCTATTTTTGTTTGAAAATTCTCGATTTTATATTTTACATTTTTAATTTTTTAATGCTATACCTTATTGAAAAATGTATGGATCAATACAATTTTTTTACGAGAAATAATATTTATATTACTCTTTCATTCGTCATACTTTTTTTTAAAGTAACACCAATTCCCTTTATGTATTTATATATTATAAATGTATATATATATATATTTATTTAATTATTCATTATTATTATTACACTTATAAATCATAAAACTTGTAATCAGGATATAAATAAAGAAATAGGAGATCATGTAGCTTTTGGAATCCATCAATTTTTTTAAATTAAATACTATCTATAGATTTGCATTGAAGCGTTTTTTTTGATAGTGATTTTAATCAGATATATCAGATATCATTATACTCGACCCAACTATGCCACACTCCACTGTGATGAGTTTTTTTAATTCAGACATAAACATTTTTAATTTCTATTTTTTGCACATACGAGGTTTTTTTACGCCTAGCGTAATATAAGTTTTGTCATAAACAATGATTCTTTGGAAATTTAATTTTGATGAAGTGATAGAAATGATAGAATAGCATTTATTTTACAGTCCTTATATTCCTTTTGAATTTGATAATCGGTATAAACAAATGTATGCATACGTACATTTGTTTATGTAAATTATTTATGATAATATCAATCACAAATTGTATACTGACAAGTATGAATTTATTTAGTGAATTATTATTTTTTGCTTCACTGTGTGTTATATTGTTACACTGAAAGTTATAATTTCTAACTATTGTATAGTAATCAGTATTCTTTGATATTTAAACTTTACCACGTTTTATGTATTTTGTAAAACACAAAAATATTTATTTATTAATTTATTCACACTCGAATTAAAACTTTATGCTGATTAACAACAAAATCATAACTTTATTGTAAAAAGATATAAGTATGTTTTAAAATAACGCAAAAAACTGACATTACTTATTTTTTTTTCATTCCAAATTCTTATCACCTAATTTCAAAGACTTAAAATGTATATAATTCTTGTTCGATATGTTTTCTTTAGCTATTGTAATAAGAAAAATAATGATTTATTTATTCACACTCAAATTCATACCTTATTTTGTAAAATAATGATATTATTTAGTTCTTGCAAAAATGCTGTAAATATATTTTAGAATAATTATAAGTGTTTATCTTTATTAAATTAAAAAAAAAAAATGTAATTATTAGGTTAAATAATCTTTAAAAAAAATGACCATAATTTTTTAGCAAATTTTACTGTAATACTTATTTTATATCCAATATTATCATCTTGCTCTAATCGTCAAATAGCCCCGTTCTAAATTATACATTTTTTATTTAAATTGCATAAAAGTATCTAGTTTCTCTACCTGTAAGGAGGAAATGATATTAAAGGGGATAATTAAAAATGACAAATTATGATAGCATATTAAACACATAGCATGTTATTGGTTTGCATTATTCATATATATTAATAAAACAATTATATAATTGTTTTGACCTCATAAGTAATTTTAACTAATATAATTTTGGCATTTCATTGATATGTAATTGTAGAGAGCAAAGATGAAAACTTAGAAGTTCTGTCAGAAAATCTTACAACGCCAGTATTCATCGACTTTCTTAAACAAGGTAAAATATTTTATCCTAAATTTATAATTATTATTACAGTTATACATATTAATTATTTCGAATACGTATATTTTTCATAAAATTGAGCTGGATTCATAATATTGTATTTGAATTTTCGGAAACACTTTTTTAATATAATATTTTATTGTTTATTTAGGATTGAATCCTAATGTCTCATCAGAAGAAATTTCAGAACCAAAGGAGATTGATAAACAAAAAATAACGATGTATAATTTTATATAAGTAAACATAACTTATATATTTAAAATAAAATTTAATAAGAAATTTCCTATTTTTGTTTGATTCGATTTTTTTTTTCACTTTTTTTACATAAAACTGTTATAACTTAAAAAAATATGAATGTATCAAAACAAATGTTTTTTTTTTATAGACAATTTGGTATTTCTTTTCTTTTTGAATATGAACCCTTACCTACCCATAAGGGGTTTCAAAATGAAAAATTGTTCAACTTAACTTTTGAAAGAGCTCTGGAAATACTAACATTTATATATATATATATATATATATATATATTAAATTAAAGCTTATGTAATGAACTTCAATATAAAAAAAAATTCGAACTTAATTTTGTCGTTATGGTGAAAAAGCCCACCGTATTTAATGAATATCATGGATCCCATCACTGTAGTCTCCCCACGTTTGAACAAATTTCTTAATTAATATTAATATTATTTTACTATATGGAAACAAACATATTTGACTATCATATAATAAAAAATGTTCTAAGAAAAAGTGTTAATAACTTCTAAAATACTATTTTANAACTCAAAAAAAAAATGCAAAATTTTAGAAGCCACAAACGGATTTGAACCTCGTACTCTAGGCGTTAAAGATCAAGGTGTTACACATTCGACAACTATTCGTTGATTTTTGTTGCATGATAAAATTGGCTATTTAAGNTCTAAAATACTATTTTATTATAACCGTATAATAATAATATTAATGCGATTTGTGAGTACTAAATATTCAAATAAATTTAATAATTTGTATGTAACTGACACGGCCACAGCGTTGTAAACTGTTTCACACCCCGCGGCTGAACCAGCTCCTTCTCAGCCATTGCACCACTAAACCGGACCGTAACACACGCGTTATCGTAGTGGTGTAAAGGCAATCAAATTGCTTTCGTCGAATACCCGTCGCAATAATACGTTTTATTAGTGATCTTCGCGACATCAACAAAATAACAGTCTGCCCATATGAACTGTCGATTGTGTTTTCCTCGTCTTATCACAAGACATCGACATTTGTATATTATTATTACTTCTGGTTTTCTTTTTCTTCTTTTGTGTTACTATTTTTTTTTTTTATTAAACGGCTTCCTTTATTTATTTATATACTGTTATATAATTATCACAATCAATGAAAAGTACAGCATTTTTTCAAGAAAAAAAATTATAAGCATTATTATATATTTTATCAAATTATTTATCAAATTCATAATTACTGCGATAATTAAATCTGAATAACCATAATATAAACTAATTAATTTTAATGAAGTTATGATTTCGCTTTTTTTTTGTTCTACTCAAGGAGTAATGGTTAGCTTATTTATCTACTTTATAAAATTGTGTATAACTTTTTTTTCATTTTAATACAATTAATTAACTATAGTTTTTCCTTTTAATAAAATAATATATAAATTAATAGTTTTAAATAATTAGGTTTAGATATGCATTATTATTATTTATTAAAAACTAGAATATTTATCCACTCGTCTGTATGTTTGGCATAAAGTTAATAAAATTAATAATACTTGTATTCGCGCACCACAGACACGAGTTTGCGATACTGTAAATGATATCATCGCAACTACACTGATAGCATGCTACAAAAAAGTAAGTGTGCGGCCTATAGATTAGAGATGTACCTAGATTTTGAAAACAAGTAATATAGAAAAGAATATCTTTTCCTGTACGTGGTACATAAGATTGATCTCAATAGAATCATAAGTGAAAAAGTAGTCACATAATCGGAGTGAGAATTAGAATTCACCAGTTGAACTGGATCCAATATAATTTAATGGAGTTGAGTCTATCAGATAAACAAGATCATCGAGACCCAGTACCATCAAGAACTACCACAAAGAGAAGGTCATTGAATGCGGCATAACGTTGTCACCCCATATCTTGTGAGCTGTATCAATTAAATGTTTAATGTATAAATATATATATATATGTGTGTGTGTGTTTAATTAAGTTAAGTTTCTGGGTAAAAGACAAACAGGGGTCAACTGCTATAAGAAAAGAACCCTTGTGTCAACATTTGGTAGCAATAAAGCGTGGTCTTTGGATTTGTTGGACAACAGAAAATTAAGTATTAAGTTATGGTTAATTAGCTTAAATCACCAGGTTACTACTTGTTATTAAAATATATATTAGTTATTTGCTTAATTAAACTAAAAGTGTCTTTAAGTATTAGTTATTATGGTAATAACGTTTTAATTATAGATTTTATGAGTATGTTACTTTAACTATCAAATAAATTGAATAAGACATTGGAGGTTAGACTTCAAGGACATGATACATTTAATGGTATTTTAGTTGCCTATTTAAAAGTTCAAGGAGTAAGACATTATAAGTTGCCTACATATTGGATTTCGGCTTACTTGCCTTTTTTTGCCTTTAACTTGAATAATATATTTATTTATTTTGAAAAATAATTTAAGTATAATTTATTATATGTAGAATGTTATCTATACATGGTTTTTAGAAAACTTATTTAGAGAATTTCATTGCATTAATTGTTATTATTTCTTTAGTTTAATTATTTAAAGGACAATCTTATACAGGGTGGTTTTTTTAATAACACACTATTCTTAAATTATTAACTATTTAAAACTTTTTTTGTTCATCCCTTATGCCTTGTAAGGGGATCAACATTGTTTTTTTTTAATGGGAACACATATTTTCAATATAATAAAATGTTTGGATTTTCAACTCAATAGTAAATGGCATTTGAATATTTAGTATATCTTTATTTGTTTATTAGATATAAACACCTAAAGTTTCAAATTTTTGAGTTAATATCCATGTATAATTCACAAGGGATTACAAATACAGGTAGCTAATTGATTTTTTATGACATTGATATTAGCAGGTATACAGCATTGTTATTATCATTGGTAGTAAGGCACATTGTTGTGACTTTATAAATACATTATCTGACAATACAGAAAGTATAACTATTGATAGTCATAATTGATAATAAACAATCCGTGACTGTGATAGCAATGTCATAAAAATTCTCTTAGTTTATAGAATATAAACCCCTTATAGCCTCACTTCAATGATCGATCTGTTCAGAGCTTCTTTCATGTTTCGCTATCACTAAGATGTTGGTCTCAAGGAAAACCCCTTGTGATGATGGGAGAATGTTCGCGCATCATAGAGACAAGTTGGCGATACTGTAAATGATATCATCGCAACTACACTGATAGCATGCTACAAAAAAGTAAGTGTGCGGCCTATCGATTAGATATGTACCTAGATTTTGAAAAAAAGGAATATAGAAAAGAATATCTTTTCCTGTTCGTGGTACATAAGATTGATCTCAATAGAATCATAAGTGAAAAGGTAGTCACATAATCGGAGTGAGAATTAGAATTCAACAGTTGAACTGGATCCGATATGATTTGATTTAGTTTAATAATGCTCAATTTTATTTTAAAACATTTTCCTCATTGATTTCATTCATTGATGATACATTTTAGTAATTACTTAGATCTATCATAGGTGTAGTACGTTAATTCTGATGTTACGACCCAGCAACAGTTAAATAAAGTCAGTTCAATACGAAAACTATTAAATCATAGTATACTTTTCAAATTATAAGATTTAGAATAGGATGAACGCCTTTTTATTTGCGACGCTTTTAAAACTCAAAATTTTTTATTTTTATGTTTGTTATAATTTATTTAGTAATTTAGATATAAAAAAATAATATTATCTATTTGATAGTGTCTAAGTGGTTCTATAAACTTACAAATAAAATTTACCAATTATTCATTAGGAATAAAACAATTAAAAAAATTCAACTATGATTGTTCCTAATTTATAATAATAATAATAATGAGCAGTAAACTAATCTGCATGATAAAATTGATTTATAATTTTTGATACATGACAAGCATTTACTAGACATATCATAATAAGACTTAACATAAAGGTTTCCAACTGCATGTTTTTGATTAAATTATCTTATGAAAAATTTATCAAATATATCATACAGGTAATTCATTAAAAATAAGACACTCATTTGCTGAAAAAGTATTGAATACATTTGTATAAACTTTTTGGCTAAACTAAACAAACCTAATTACACTTTGTAAGACATGGTACGTACCTATTTCTTATTTAATGGGATCACTATGATAGCATACAATTTCAAAAACGTGTATAAACACGTTTCACACTTTGTCCTTCAATAAGTTAAGAAAAAATTCAATATTTGTTCGCATAAAATATTATTTTTTAAATTTATACCTTATAATTTTGAATTCAATAGAGAACATCACAATAGTCCTAGCTTATATCGATAGCTAATAAAGTTATGTTAATAACATGCAATTTTGGTATTAAAATTTATGATTTACGATTTTATTTTTTCAACTTTAAATTACTATAACTTTTCTAAAAATGTATTGATACGGCCCCCGCGTAGCTTCGTGATACACG